TGCAGAAACAGGAAGGGAAATTTAAAGGAATTATGATGTGAAAGAATCATACAGAATGTGTAGGAAAATTAATGGAATATTTGTAAATGAAGTATTTAATGTATGGTTCTCATATATTACGAAGAATTCTGTAATTTTTCTAGTAAACAATAGCTTGGTTGTCTCCCACTGAGTCTTCGTTCACTACAGTAGACTGAATAAATTATCTCAGGTTATCACCATTACGGTTATTCCTCTACACATCCACTGATACTACTACTGATGGCATATATATAGTGTACAATTAAATACGTACTGTGGTGCATGCTACTTATACTGATAGATATAAGTAGTATGTAGCACCAACCGGAAGTTGAATGGCTGGCAGCAGAAGATTTTAATGAAAAGAACAGAAAGGAAATCTGAGAGCAGTCGAAATAACATCAGAGTTGGAGGAATAATGGAATATGTAAAAGACAACACAATGTATGTAAATACTGTATTTACTGTATGTATTTCATATTTAACTAACCCATTATATTTTGCGTTAAACGATAAATTAGTTCTCCCCTACCTATGTTTTCGTTCATTATAGTACTACCAGTTATATTACAAATAACCAAATAGTCCGTTACTTTTCCTTGTTTTATGAAATCAAAACTTTTCTAGGTTGTTGTTGTCAAGCGAACATTAGGCGTTGGCTATGCGGCAGTTGATAATCCTATATTCTTTAAAGAAAATACCGAAATGCTATTGGGCGATGCAAAAACTATTTGTGATGACCTATTAAATGCGTGTCGAAATCCATCATGAAGAAAATTCAATTGTATTCTATGAAAATCAATAATATTTTGCATATAACATTTATAAAGATAAATATGTGTTTGTTTGTTTTTCCCTTGAAGTTGAACGTTTAGTTCCAACTAACCATTGGTTAGTTCTTCCATATCACGGATTGTTTTCGATTCAATTGTTTATTAATTTAAAATATTCCATTATTAATTACGTTTAAGACTATGGTTGGGAGTTTATTACTCTCATACACCTTTTATTATGCAAATGAACTATTCAATAATAGGGTCTCATTAATTTCAGTAGGTAAACATTCAACTTTTTGATTACATCTGCCCTTTCATGAAGTTCTGCTTATTTAAGTCGATATCTAGTTTCAGAGTTCAAACCTCCTGTTTGTTTGATTCATGTAATTGCTGAGTTGTACTCTATGTGAATAAAAAATTAAATGGTTGAACTGATCACGTATAATTGTTCTATCTTGAATTAGCGATTACGGTTTACACCCGAATCTTCAGTAACTAGTTTGAGAGTGAATATACCAAATGTGAACAATAAAACGGCTTTGAAATGTTGTTCCTGCATAGCTGATGGGGGATATAGATTAGTTGTGTTGTCAATCTCAAGTAGCGTGGAACATGTAGTATATGTGTGAGATGAAATTATCAAGATGTATTCCTGTGTGATAGAAGTAGTCACAGCACTACTGGTAGTGGAACAAGATTGGCCTTCAAATGTCGTAGTACGGCCAAGGATGTTGACAGTTTGCTCCCTCTCGAAATGCTCTCACACGGTCATAAGAATACGTTGTTACTGACTGACTGCCACTGCCTTCTCGCAACGAGGGTGTTTTTACGAAATTAATGGGACGAAAAGCGAATGTTTGGCGCATGAACCGGGTTGGTGGACATGGAGGGTCCACGTTAAGAAGTGATACACCTCTAATTCAAAGCCAATGGTACACATGGACTCAATGATCCTAAAGGAACTAATGGAGTATGAACCAATTATTGGTCACCAGCTTCCGTAAGACGACATCTAGAGTTGCTTCACTGTCTTGATTAAACCTACAACTCAAAGGATCGGGATGTGGCCCTCTAAAGAAACCACCTGCTTCTATCTGGACACCCGGGTGGTGTCACATTCTTCACACAAATCAATGATAACTGCTACTGGCCCCACTGTGTATTTGGTGCCCCCTTAGACCTCTAGGTAAAAGGCTCTTAGAGTTGACCCCCCCAAGAAAACCATCTCCTTTGGTTTGGGCGACGGGGAAGTATCCCAGCGCACGCACAAATCAAATGATGATCATAACTGAAAAAAATTTATTCTTGCTTCAATTCTCAATCAGACAAATCACATTCACAATCATTTGTCAACAATCATTTTTATATATTAATACTACATCACTTGTCTACTTCTTTATTCTCATTTTGTGTATATTTTATTTCTCAACTTATTCAGCAGCTCGCCTATGGTGAAAATCCTGTCGTGTCTAAACGACTTCATGTCAATAACTGGTCAGAAGTTGAATGCTACCAATTAATACGAATACTGAAACCACGTATACCATTTGAACTGGCTTCCTTCAACCTTCACACACCAAAGCATATCGAATAACAGATAGAGCTGGCTATGTCTTCAGAATGTCTCAACTTTGATTTTTATTATTTGCATTTTGTGTCCGTATGTTCTTTGCACCTTCGAAGTGCAAAGTACTTTTGCAAGATCGGTAAGACCTTTAACCTACACTCACTCTGGATAGTGGGCAGATAGAAGTATTTGAGAATTTTTTGTATCCAGGTAGCTGCCAGTGATGAGATCAGTTTATGCATAGTAGAAGTCATAGTGATCTATACAAATATGGTCCATTCTTGGTGCCTTTGTGATGTTAGTCTGGCTATTAAAGATTGGATCGAGAACGCGGCGGTGAGAGCACTTGTACTATGTACTTGTGAAACCTGGCCACTGAGTTGGGAGTGTTAAATGTTTGATTATCGTTGTCTCTGACGGACTGCTGACATACAGTGGTAACATCATATTGGTAATGCAGAAGTTCAGTAACTTGTGTTCTGTCACAGCAACGATAATCCAATTAATGTCACCATCTTGAAATGTCGACTTTGGTGGCTTGGATATTTCCTATGAATACCGTCCCAGCGGGTTGCACATTGTGTATTATTTGCCGACTCTCGAGCTGTTTAATAAAGCAGAGTGGTGGTCAGTGTACGACATGGTGTCGTGGTATGAAAGAAAGCTGTTCAAAACTGGCTTTTGTTGGACCTCGTTGAGGTCCTAGAAATAGAGCAACACAGTAGCCTGAGATGTTATTGGAAATGGCTCAGAATATAAACCAATGGCTATCGTTCTGTAACTTTTTTTATATAATTTAACGTAATTTTTAATAGAAAGAATTCTTTCGGGTAGTATTTTTCATAACTGAACTCCCATTATTATTATTATTATTATTATTATTATTTCAAGCTCATACACTAATTTCTGTTCATTGTTAGTCTTTTTGTTATACTTACCCCTCCATTCACAACCTCACTGTTAGTATGTGGCACACATGTGTTTGGTCCCCCCTCGTAATAGTGTTTGTGTGTTCAAATAAAGCACTATACTATTGTGAATGTTACACGGATACAATTAAAATGCTCAGTAGTCTTTGAAAAATTATCTAAGCCACATCGAACACGATCATTTTCAAAATTTAAAATATTCACGTTCAACTTTTAAGAAGTGAATTATACATGTTCAAAGTGCGTTTACTCTAACAAAAAAATCACTACTTTTTCCTATAGATGCACTTACTAGTGAATAATATGGTGAACATGTAGTATTTCTTTCCAAGTAACTCTTTATCATGAATCTGCACCCAATATTTTGGTTCGTTAGTTGAATGTTAAATCAACACTAATATAAAATGGTTATGAGTCAGTTAGTATTGTACTTCTTGACTTTAAGGTAGCATTCAGTTTTGTTATTCGTGAGGTATTATGATAGTGACTGTCATTGAGAAGGGTACCATAGAAAAACATCAATCATACAAAAGCTAGCTACTTCAAAACTGCTGGTTGAGTCAGAGTTTATGGCAAACTGTCATCGAGATCGGTAACTTCAAATGGTGCTCGTCAGGGTTGTCAGTTTTCCACAGTGTTATTTAACTTTATCATAGACATCGTCAAAATTTTCAGGAGATTCACTCGTTGGCTTAGAATACTCAGATGATGTAGTTATGTTTGACGATGAAGCTGATGACCATATTCAACAATGCAGGGATATTCTTGATGCTAATTTCTTCCTCCAAATTCAGAATGTTACTTCAAGACTGGAATACTTAATTACTTAATGTAGTTGGGTGTATCGATTGTCTAACTTATTTTGGGAGTCTCACCGGTCATGATGGTCGGGCGTCTGGCAAAATGTCGGCACAGATTCAGAAAGCTCAATTAGCTTTTCAACTTTTGTCCTTTGTGGTGTATGCAAGACATATTTCTGCCAAAAAAGCACAAGCTAACTGTGCAGCAGTTCTCTCTGTTCTACTTCATGGGTGTAAAACGTGGCCATTATGAATAGTGGATATTAGTAATTTACTAGTGTTTGGTTACAGTTTTCTTCGAAGTATTCCTCAAACGTTTTGGGACTGCTTAGTAGATAATGCTAAGGTTAGGCATAGGGTTCTTGGCAATGGTGACAAATCGCTTGATGAAACAGTATATCCATCAACTGAGAGGGTTCGAACAGAAATTACGTATGTCTTCTCATCGCCTACCTCGACAGGCGATGTCTTGAGTAGGTGTAGGTTGTGAGAAAGTTAGCAGCCTCCGAACCAAGAAATGCTATCAGTCTTTGAAGTCATTGGGAATCGAACTGAATAATGATTAAAAGTATGAGTTACCTGGTGAAATCCACGAGATTAAAATATCGGATAATTAGAAACTTTGAATGACGCGGCTCAAAATTGTTTGTAATGGCTCTGGTGCATCCATTATCTATCTTCCGTTAGATCCTAATTTCCTCATAATCTTTTTTTTATTTCAATAGTTTATTGTATTTGAATAGTATCTCCGATACCCAATCGTCAACCCTGACTACATTTACTGAAAATTTCGGATTACAATATTGTCACTTTCAAAGACGTAGAAAATTATTATTGAAGGTATATTCATGAATCTAAATCTCTTGTAGAGTTCTCTATTAATATTGGTAAGGTCTTTGGCTGTGACATTGATTCAAACTCCTGGAGATCACAGATAATCCCTGCTGATCTAAGTGATTTAGGTTAATACGATACTGCAGATCGCCTTCAACCACTTACAGTAACAGAAAGATGAAACATACCTAGTTACCATATTATCGTGGAACGTCCTTATTAACTTCGTTATGCTTTTTTTCAATCTGGAAACCTATTGGTCGATAAGACAAGTCACGAGTTTTACAACTATAACATCTGAGTAGTTTCATCAATAACCATGACCTTAAATTTTAATTACTTCTATCGATAATTAACTTTTAACAAGTCGATTCATTTATACTCAATAAATGGTGAGAGAATAAAATATCAACGTCTAGAAATGGAAGATTTTCTTTCAGATCCTACGTTAACAGATAACTCCTCATTTATAGTAAGTGATATATTGTATATTCTTATCATTATCGTTCTAGACTAAACAAACTGATCTTTGATTAGAATAAAGGTAGAGGGTTTGGTAATTGAATTCGTGGCTAAGTCAAAATGTGTAAATTCTGTCTAACAAGTGTATAGCACTCTGTAACACAGACTCAATGGTTAGTTTAGTTACAGAGGTTTCTAATGAATATCATAACTAATAACCTAAGTAATAACACGTTACCTGATCAATGCAACTAGACTAATTTTACATCAAAATTGTTATATCAAAAGAGAAAAAACCTACTTTTAAGTCACCATTTAGAATATATATATTGACCGATCCTTTCATAATAGTTACGTTTAATCAACTCCAATGACCATCACTTAAATAGACAAACTTGATTCTATCATTTTTAATAATAGCATACAAGTTGGATTTAATACAAATATTTCAACTTCATATTTAGTTGATATAAACAACCTTATATTCCACATTCAATATACACGAATTGTCAAAAAAACATGAAAAGGCAGATATGTGAATTCATGATTAGCTCATTTATTGATTCTACTCTATTTTGCTTTTCTATCTTTACTCACGCTTGTTACGCCTCGTGAAGAAACACAGGCCATCCACCAGCATTATTCATTCAACTCGGTCCTGAGAATTACGTTCCACTTGTTAGCCATTCTTTCGCTGTCTGCTTTTAGTTCTCAACGCAATGTGTTAAATAGTTTTTCTCTTTTCCTTCCCCCTTCAGCATTTCTGTTTAGGTTTTGCCTCATGATGCGGTTTGGTGGTTTCCATAGTATATATACTATCGACATCTAACATCCTTTCCTAATTTCCTACTCAGATATTCTGTAAATTGTTCAACGTTTATTAATCTGTCATCTAACGTAGAAATGTTTTGTCTTGATAGATGATTTTTACTATAATACATAATCATACTATTTATAGTTTTTAAAAAATAGAAATTCTTGTTTTGTAATTAAAAAGGGTTTGAAGTATCCATTTGTTGATAAGCATAGATGTAGTTAAATAAGTCTTCGTGATTATATAAAAATTCTGGTCGGATTACATTGAGGCAACGGTTTTCTAACACATTATATAGAGTAGATAAATTGTGGCTAGCAGTGGAAGTCAGGACTTGTGTTTCGACGCATTTGGGACTCATCAGTTGAATTCATGTTTATCTCAATGTTGATCTTCATTCTAGGTCTCGATGGATAGGTGGATTACGCATTACGCATTTGGGAAGAAAGTGTTATAACTTGTGGCTTGTGTGCCCTGTGAATGTATAACGTAACGATACCACCAATCAGAGAGCAGTGAATTATCAATCGAAACAGTGACGCATAAAACACGTACGAGCACTCTAGAGTCCTGATTTGTTCTGCTTCCCGCCTAGCTCAGCCAGTTAAGTCCAGAACACCAACCTCAGCCTCTGCGATATGAATCACTTATTTCTAACATACGGGGTTTATATCCCGATCAAACAGACTACATCGTACTAATTAAATAGGAAACAACATTTTTACAATATTTGACCAAATGTGGCTGTGAATGTGGGGGGGGGTAGTAATTAATAGACAGGGCATAATTCAAGAATGGTAAATCGTATAATACTGGTTCATAGGTGAAAATAAAGCTTATGATAAGAGGGACATGAATATGTATAGTTTAGTTATTTAACAATTATACGATAAAAATATACTCATAGTCTTGGTCCATAAATGGATCCCACAGTTACCATTCATTATGCTTATCGGGACCTAACAGAAAGGTGTAGCGTCGAGTCGAGTCGCTATTGACTATGAACACCACTACAAGAAGACTACGTGCCAGTTAACCGGTAAAATCCCACGTAAGCCAAATATCAGAAGGTAGTTGGTGGCTGTAGTCAAGATGTATTTGTTGGCGATCTCGTGTTATCGAAACGATACCGAGATCATGCCAATGGGGTACAAGCGTGGTTACCGAGCGTAAGCGAACCTGTGCAAGGTCACAATCAATGGAAGGATTATGGCGCAGTAATATGGCTGTCTTTAGCACAGTAAAACAATCAGTGATACAATTGGTTATAATAATGATTGTTTCATTTAAACACATCGCGTTCTCTTGATAAAAGTAGGTCACTACAAAGGTATTAGTTCTGAGTCTCAGATTTCAGCATCAACATGTATGCAGTTACAATAAGCAAAGAACTGTTAAACATTACAATAATCATGTTATAAATCCCGATGCTAAACGCAACCTACCAAATTCATTTGAATCACTGTAGAATGAAAGTTGTTATAATGAAAGAATTGTGAAAAGTTATTCCATTATTTTCTACTTGAACTTTATAGATTTATCCAAGAAAAGAAGTTTACTATGATTTTCATGATACTACAAATTATCAAGATAGTTTTTGGTTTAGTTTGCCATCAGATTTACGAATACTTGAGAGTAAGCTAACAGTTTTTCAAAGTACTAAATGAAGTAATTTTGTGTACTTAAGTCACTTTTTTCAAAACAACAAAAAATAATTTTTCATAATGGACAGTAGAATGCACGTGTAATTGATAAGTGTTGTTCAAACATAACTTGATATCTATGTTAATGATCAGACTGTTTTGAGCTATGATACATTTTATGTTATAATGATTGAACTTGAAAAGGAATTTTTACTATAATCATGTTTCAACCGAAGTCAGTCGAGTAGATTAGTCTTATACAACTATTAAACTAAAGATCCATTCATTGATAGAAACATTGAAATGAAGTTATAAGTTGGAATGCTTTACTGATTCATAAAACATTGAGAACCAGTTGTTTTATCAATTATATTTATCAACTTCAGCGACTACTCTAAACTGACAGTAATCTTGTTTTCCAATAGTGGTCAACTTTAAGGGATTTTATTCCTGGAGTTCAAAAGTGTAACTCAGATCCACAGAGTTCAGCCATGTCCGATATGCGATAAATGTCACTGCTGTTACTGGAAGATGGTCGGACGAAATTGTGATTTGACGGAAGTTTAATTTGTAAAACATGTATTACAAAATAGTGCTTGAAAGACTATGGCTCCTTAGGAACTTTTAGGTACGTAATTCTGAATAATACCTTACTAGAACAAAAATGTTACGAGTTTTTGATTTGGTGAACCAATGAGAATTATCCAAATGATAAGTTCAATTGATGGCAATTAAAAGTGACCTGAAAGACAAGTGCATATCATTGGTTAAGAAATTGATTGATTTTCTATAGTGGTAGAGATGCATTTATATCAATGAGTGTTTGTTTATTATATTACGTAGACCAATATACTTTCTCGTTACAGGTTTTCAACGTGTCTAATTTAGATCGCTCCGTGATATCAATAGAACTCAACAGTAAATAAATCTTTATAATTTTATGATTTACCTTCCTTAAATAGATTTGAAGACAGGTTTTACAGAGTGCATATTGAGACATTTAGGGTCTTACCATGACTTATTATTCATTCTCATTATTTTCCAAATCTTCGGAAGTCTAAGATTAAACCTACATAGACATAATATGATTTATTTATGAAGATAATTTCTAATTATTGAACTGATAGAGGTTAGATTAATAAGAGTTACGTATTAATCACAATAAATAATCATTAATTTAATTTATGAACCTTAATTTTGATGAAGTTTTGTTCTCTGAATCGGGTGGTTTGATCGTGGAGCTTTCATCGTTCTTCTTGACGACATCATCACCACAAACTTCAGCTACAAATCTTCTCTACAATATATTAATCTTAAACATTATCCCATCTTGACACTTTATTGTATTATATTTACGTTACCAAGCTACTTGTCAATTGATTACCAATTGATTAAAGTATAACGGTCAATATTTTTCAGCCACAGGAATCTAGTTACCAACTATTTAGTGCTTGCTAACTTGTTTATAGTATACATTTCTATGTTCACTTGGTGTTGTTTTGCTTGAATCTCCGCATTGAGGTTTAAGACTGCAATTGATCAGTCTGTTATTGGTATATGGCCATACTGTGCGTATTGCCTCGATATTGACTTAATTCACAAGATTTATTATCAAAGATGGATAGTGGCTAGCAGTGGGATCCAGTTTGACGAACGTTTTGTCCTATCTGGGACTTGTCAGCTGGATGTAGATGCATCTCCGAGTTGGTGTTCACTCTGCGACTCGACCCAGTACCATTCGCTTCAAACGCCGTCGCATTATCCATTCAAGTATGTAATGACTATACTACTTAATAATAGTTAGTAGTTTGAATAGTGTTGTAAATTTCAAAAGTGAATTAACACCAACACGATATAATGTAAACCACATACTACATATTCATCCAAGTTAAAACTAGCCTTTCACCACTCTATATTCACAATAACACTTTATTCCTGATTCGTCTTAAATATAAGTAGATTTGAATATACACCAACCGGCTTACAAATATGAGGGATTATCATCAAACTTTTAAAATCACAACTAAATTGTTAATTATCAGTTTAAGGGTTGTGGAGATTATTAAGTTTTTGATTGAGATCATGAACCGATTGATGTTAGACCACCATTGAAAACCTGGAAGCACTAGGCGGCCGTTTCGTCCTGTTGTGGGGATCCTCAGCACTGCGCATCCAGGATCACGATCGCGGGATTCGAACCAAGGGCCTTCAATCTCGCGCGCGAACGCTTAAATTGTTAATTCTTCTGCTCTTTGAAGTCTTATAAATCAAAGCCCTTCATATCTTCATTTTTTGTGTAGACTGACCACTAAAATACTTCGGATTTCTAGTTATTACATATTTTTTGTAAACTGTTACATACTGAAATGATCAACTACTTTATTAAGTTCTATATTATTCTGTTTTTATACTATTTTATCAAAAATGTTTTATTACTTTTCATTTAGATATGTCCGTTATAGATTATCTAAGACAATTTGCACATCTTTCATCTAGAAAGTATGATTTATATCGACGTATATATAATCACTGGTGTCAAGGCTCTAAACTTTCTATTGATGTAAGCACTAGTTGTTTGTAATAATGATTTGTCAATTACTTATGAAATTAGTTTTTCCTTTTATATTTTGAGTGAGGCTATAATTTATGGATGAACCAATTAGATTTAAGATAGCAGGTTTTGGATTTTAGTACACTCATTTAAAACTAGCAAGTAGGTGAACATTTTCCAGGTCATTTAAGCGTCGCTTAAAAGTAATTCATAAATTATAGTCTCAACGTAATCAAAGTTTCTTAGGGCCCCCATATGCTCTGGTACGGTCGAGAGTGGAGAGAATCAACTCTCCCTCCCGAAATGCTTTCCCATGTCCTCGTGCATACAACCACTGAAAGGGAAGTCCTACTCACTGCGTTCTCGTGGCAGGGTGTTGTTTACAAAATCGAGAGGATAAAAAGCGAATGTCCGGCGCTTTTGCCAGGTTACTGGCACGGAGCGTCCACCTAAGGAAGTTGGAAAACCCTGATTCCAAACTGATGGTGCAAATGGACTCCAGTATCCTGTGGGAACAAATGGCGTGTGAACTAATTGTTGGTGACTGACTACCATTGAACTGCATCTCCTGACGTTGCTCCACTGACTTGTAAATCAGACTATTAGGTAGAAGGCTTGGTGTGTGGCCCCCTAAAAAACCAGCTGCTTCTGTTTGGGTACTCGGGGAGTATCTTAGCCCTCACATAAACTGAATGATTTATGTGGCGCATATCTATTTGGTGCCTCCTTGTACCAATATTTATATGTTGAAATAAAATAATAATAAAAAGTATAAAATAACTCAAATATATATCTTAATAGTCTCCCTTGATTGTTTACAACATGCTTAGTACTGAGAAGTTATAATGATCATTTTTTGTTCAATAGTTGTCTATATAAAATCAATTCATAATGAAAACGCCATGTATTTGGCATGTTTCAAGAAAACTAAATGTGAAATTCTACAAGCACATCGCTTCATCATTCAGAGTCAATTCTAACTTAATCTGTATTGATATGTCAAATAAGATATTAAAATGTTAAATATTTTTCTGGTGAAACCATAACAGAGTTATAAAATGAATCACTTGCTGAGTTCAAGATAAATCATGTAACGACGAAGAAAAAGTTGTTAAATGAAACAAGGTTCACTATGATTATATCATGATAATATGACCTGGATTAGAGATTATATAACACCTTCCAGCGTGGCTAAACAAAAGTTTGGTGAACAAAGTGTACAGCTTGATATTGGCCCATTTAGTACAAACTAGTCATAGTGCTAGTATAAACCAATATTTTTCAATTATTTATCGGGTCAGTAATTTTGTTTCGCCAAAACTTGTCAAATTTAAAATCCTTCAAACGGCTGAAGCAGTAACCAACTGGATGAAGTCACCGAAGCTGTGTGTACAGTAGATTGAAGTTCATTGTGGAATCATTTCAATTACTTAATTCTTGATAAAAAATTATCTCTTTTTTGTATATTTTATTATTAGAAATTAAATAATGCATTTGAAGATATTGTACCAGTACAAATTCCAATTAGTTGTTATACATTAGTATTTAATCTAATTGGATTACAAGTTATAGATTATCAATATATTGATTTTGAAACATTCTGTTGTATATGTATTGTTGCAGAACGTCTTATATTCTATAAAATTATGTAAGTTCATTTTAGTATATACTTTTCACGATTGTATAATAATATACAAACTAAACGTAACTTGATGATGATGATGGTGATGGTGAAGAGGAAACTCACTTATTACATAGAAAGTCATATACTCATTTTTATGCTACATTATGTATGTGACAGTTAGTGATAATATACAACTGCTCAAACCGAAATAGATGAAACGAGATTAGAAATTGAAAGCTGAACAGACTTACTATTAAACTACCAATAGTTTAGTTATGAAATACTTTATACTTACTAATAATGTATTAAAGTTATTGATAATTTACTATTCATATTACTTCAGTCTTATTTTTGTTGAAAGGATTAGCTAAAAATTATGTTGAATGACATGAATTTATTCATGGTTTTTCTGAAATGTATTCTATTTTAACAGATATCCCTCTACCAACCAAAGGACGGATTTACTGTGCAGCAGTTCGTTCCGTCCTACTTTATGGCAGTGAAACATGGCCGGTAAGAGTAGAGGATATTCGTAGGTTACGGGTATTCGATCATAAATGTCTTCGAAGCATTGCTTGTATACCATGGGACCATCGAGTAAGTGATGCAGTTGTTAGGAAACGGGTACTGGGTAAGGATGGCAAATCAATTGATGATGTAGTGAAACTTCATCAGTTGAGATGGCTGGTATAAGTGTTACGTATGCCCAACCACCGACTGCCTCGATGTGCGATGTTTAGTTGTATAGGAGTAGATTGGAAGACAGCTAGAGGCGGCCAGACCAAAACATGGCACAAGTCCATGAAGTCACTGACAAGCAGACTGAGTCATATTGGTAGGTGTAGACTACCTAGTTGGGGACCGCGAGATAATAGCAACCGATAGTTAGACTTTAAATGACATGGCTCAAAATCGTTTGCAATGGCGCAGGTGCATCCACTCTTTATGTTCTCCAAAGTTCTAATCTTCTGTATTGTTTATGTCCCTTTCCTTTTTCTCTTTTCAAATTTACTTCACTGGATTATGCTCCTTGAATAACATCTTCAAACCCTGCTCTTTCAGATTACTGCTTATACTTTTACTACCACTATTGCATCTCTGTGCTAATGTGGTATGGCAACATGAAATGACGTACGTACGTACGAAGTTCTACGTTGTTGTTGACTGACTGACTAAATGACATACACTATGCAGAGTTGCCGTTCGGGTCTATTATTAATATACACATTTCCTATATATGATATCAGACGTCTACATCAATAATAAAATCAAAAGTGAATTGAAAGCTTTAATCGACTAATCCATAATCTAGATATATGCATAAACATATCCGTTAATCTAGATATGTTTCACTCAAAAAAATGAGTTAGATTATTAGCTGATAGTATTTATCTGTCTTTGAATAATTAAGCAAAATCTTGATTCATACCGTATACCTGTCAATATCCCTCGATTATCATGTTACCTTAAAACGATGTCTGATTAGCCATGCCAATTATATTGACAAATCAATTTGACACGCCTTCGTGACGTCGACAAATATATGACGAAACAGCAAGTGATATTTCAACATAGTAATACGATAATCAGTTGCAATAAACAAAGGTGATTATCAAGTATTTTGACTACATTGTTTGTTACGTAATAACTGGTTGTCTGTACTTATAAGTGAATACTTGATGGGGATTAAGGCTTCAGCAGATATATTTTCTATGAGATTCAAGGAGATTTTAGGATGCTTATTATGTATGCTGAATCACGTTTGCATAAGTCTTCAGTTGTACGCAAAACTGTACTTGTAGTGTGATGTGTGCTACTGATGTCAACAGATATAAGTAGTACGTATCATCAATCGAAAGTGAAATGTCTGGAGGCAGAAGGTTAAGAAGATCGAAGGAAAAAGGACGAAAACAGATAATCCTTGGTGTAGAAACAACAAACTAAGAGACAATCGATTGACACATTGCAAACGAAGTATTCACTGTATGGTTCGCAGATTTTACTAATACATTTTGTAATTTTGTGTCAAAGCATATTTAGTTTTAAGATGGTGTTTGGAGACAGTCAACAGGACCATCATATCTCAACATAGTGAAGGCAATGTCAAGTTATCTAGACTAGTGGTCACATTGCAAATTGGTCGATAGGATTAGATCTATAGAAAGAAGGACCTGACATACATGACATTGATTACTACGCAGTGATCAATCAATAGTAAACATTTGATTGTCCCACTGGTGTTCTCGTTCACTACAGTAGTGGCAGAAAAAGGTAATAACAAAATGATTAGATCTAAGTCGAGTAGAATAAATAACTAGTAATATTACCAATGGTGAACAGTATTTATTGAAGTTTACTACTACAGGTTATTACTTCTTTAAATTGAGAAAAGAAATCTACTTTTAAATTAATAAATATGGATATAAACTAATTATCATCCTAAAACTTTATAAAAGCTTAAATAGATTTAAGTAGTCATAAGATTGTTTCCAATTAGGTTTATGAGTGATACTACAATTTATGAACGACCTTTGAGCGACGCCAGACTTACCTTCAGAGTGTTCACTTAATAAACAAGACCAAATGGGGTTTATGAACCTGTGTGAGAAATTAGAATTATTATTTACATTTGATGATTAAGCTTAGGAATTCAATTTCGGGTTTTTTTTATCACGACCTGAAATCAGCTATAACACCAAAACTTTATTTATCCAAATGGATGAGTGAATTTAGAGCGAAAATCTGAGACCTGTTTTCTTAAACGTGATTGGTTCTCGCTGAAATACCTGCTCCTTATCTAGATTATATGTTAGATTTGATGTGACATAATGCACATTCAACAATATTAATATATAGTTAGACAATATACTTCTACTTTAAATCTCATCCTTAACGCTCATAAGTTTCTAAACAAAAGAATGATAGAGCATTGTTACATTTTAGCTGATGTTGATTAGTAGTGGAAACTCTATAAAATTTAACTTTAACTATAAACACTAGTCAAATCTCTCAACCAATTTTTTCTCACTATAATGAATAATTCGGGGGGATCCACTCTAACAGTGCTTGTTCCGCCCTCATGCTTAGTGCTATCCCTACTCCTGCCAGTCCACGAGAGCTGGCCGTCGGGTGACCAGATACACGGAGGGTGTATCTCGTTGGCTCTCCGTTTTGCCGAGATGAGGTCAAGTGAATGACCACACTGGGAACCTGTATGCGTGTTTCAGCGGCACAGCATACATCAATGGTACGAGATTCTAGGGTCCTAACCAAGGAAGCCTGCTGACCAACTTGACATAGAGTACGTACATCGAAAGCTCCAATGTGTAGTTTGGAGCGAGGTTTCAGTAGACCTGGGACAGTGTTTTGAGCACTAAAATCGTTGGCTATGGTGACACTTGAGGGAGAAGCCGAAAAAGGAAGTTTAGAGATGAAAGTCGATGTAGGAGGGATAATAGGAAGTGAAGACGGAGGGTGATTATGAATACATTGGTCTTGAGTGCTGTTAGAGTATGAAGGCGGTTATCACTTCCCGGTTGTCCACACCGTGGAAGGGTCGTTCTGGAGGTACCTGAAAAGGAAATTTAATTAGAGGTGATCTTAGTGACCTGAGAGCGTGACCGCAGTGCCCATGGGACAACTGCTTGAGGTCGGTCACCCATGACCTTTTTATGGGTGATTTTTGTGTCAGCTCCGTACTTATTGAGACTTTACCGCCGGAGACGGATATCCGTGGATAAGCGAGGTGTGCATTTTTAGGGTCGACCTTTTCTAACCCCACCCCTCCTTGTGGGAAGGCAGTATCGCTGTCATACTGTTTGTCTGAAGGAAACACCTTAATGCTGTCACACCTCTGTACAGTCAGCAGTACGACTTCGCCTTCGGACCTTAGGTTTGTTGCTTTTAGTCTTACCGCTCTTCAACCGACCTGTCTGACATGGTAGGACCTTGAGGAACGGTTGTTCCAGTCAGTATAGCTCGGTTGCTTCATCACGATAGGCAAGCCCAACCACCAAGTCAAGGTAGCAACAACGGTCAGGGTTTATTATTCATATCAAAGCTATTATTCTATAGTAATTTTCTAACCGTATATTGTCTATTCTAGTTGATCGCTCAATGTAGTCAGAAAAATAGATCCCTAGAGGGAAGTTACCATTGTTATATTCATTCAATGTTTTCTATGAATAAAAGTGAGAAGCGAAGAGGAATTTGTATTTAACTGATTGCCTATGTTAGACATTAATCCTTGATTTCATTACATTAAGTATTAGATTTGTTTCAAGTAATCTTAACTACTTTTAATTTTATGAAGTGATCAATTTCTATTTAATGATTTCAGGAAGGACTCGAATATACCTATACCATCAAGGATATTTTAGAAATGATAGAATTTCAACGATTACAATGTCAATATACACAACTTAATCTAAATAAGAATATTAAACATTTTCTTGATTTAATACTTCTTTAAAATAATGAATTGTATAACCCCTTTAAGTTTATAGCAATTTCACTATGTAAAAAATACAAGTATACTAATTTTATATTATATATTCTACGTATAGAACAATCCCCCTACTTCGGTTTAGTCACCCGGGCAGTATCTCAGCCCTCATATAAATCAAATGAGATTTATGTGGTGCATATTTGTTTGATGCCTCCTTGTACCAATGTTTATGTGTTTAAATAAATAAATATAGATCACTGATAAATGTGATTAATGATTTGATGTTTTTCATAACTATATAAGATCGTTTCAAAACAGAACTAGATGCTGTGATCGACATTTATAAAAATGGTTTTATCTTCAGTTACTGCTTTAATAACTATTTTTAGATAAACAGTATACATGTTAAAATACTAATTTAATGTTTCATTTTAAAATGTATTGTACATTTTTGTAAATGTAATAATTTCACAGATTGAAATCATGAGTCAATTGAAGCTAGACCATCACGGAAAATCTGGAAGCACTTGACGGCCGTTTCTTCCCATTATGGGACTCCTCAGCAGTGCGCATCCACGATCCCGCACCCACGCGAGATTCGAGCCCAGGACATATGATTTCAATCTGATAATAATCATCTGCTCACAAGTGACTGACTTCAAGAGATACTCCTGGTGTTCTAGTGAGAAGCCGTTACCAGTGGAGTTCAAATACGTCTGTTGTGAGATATAAACTCACTGAAGACAATGGTATACGGTAGCGCAACGTCGTGGATTGGTTGAAGTTAGACATTAACACCATTGGATGCCGGCTCAGTGGTCCAGTCGGTTAAGCGCTTGGCGCTGGATGCGCACTGCTGAGGAGTCCCACAATGGGAAGAAACGGCCGTCAAGTGCTTCCAGATTTTCTGTGATGGTCTCAGTCAGTCAGTCAGCTACAACGTAGGACCAGGCACATATGTGCATCGGTCCAGGTTGCCATACCTCATTAGCACAGCAAGATGAACAGCGGATTCATAGGAGTGGTTAGGTCAAAGGTTGCAATAAGGATATAGTATAGGAAGAAAGAATTAGTTCGTAGAAAGAAAGAATGAAGTGATTTTAATCTCTTAGTTTAAGGGAAGACAGGGAGTGTATACACCGACGCCATTGTGATCGATTCTGAGCCATGTCACCAAAGTCTCCAACCATTGGTTACGAAAGTCACGCGGACCCCAACCAAGTAGTCTGCATCTACCAACATGGCTCAGACTAGAAGTTAGTGACTTCAGGCACTGATGCCACGTTTTGGTTTGGCCGCCCCTAACTTTCTTCCAACCATCCCCTACACCGGTTAGCATTGCACGTCGTGGTAATCGGTGTTCAGGCATACGTAATACGTGGCCCAACCATCTCAGTCGATGAAGATTCATAACCTCATCAACTGATTTACCATCATTCCCTAATACCCTGCGTCTAACCTCACTATTACTTACCCGGTGATCCCAGCAGATGCCAGCAATATTTCTAAGGCATCTGTGGTCAAATACTAGTAGCTTACGGGTGTCTTCTACTCTTAAAGGCCATGTTTCGCTGCCGTAAAGTAAAACAGAACGGACTGCCGCGCAGTATACTCGTCCTTTTATTGATAGACGGATATCTCGCCTCCGCCAAAGGTGACGTAAGTTGGCAAAAGCCAAACGAGCTTTTCGAATCCGTGCTGAGATTTCGTCAGACACCAACCCATTAGGGCTGATCAGACTTCCAAGATAAGTGAAGTTGTCAACGCGTTCGACTACTTCACTCCCTATCCTTAGTTCAGGTGTTGACGCAGACCAGTCCTGAAGCAACAACTTGCATTTAGAGGGAGAGAAGCGCATCCCAAACATTCTGGCATTGTTGCTTAGTGCTACCAGAAGACTCTGCATTTTGTCAGCGTCTTCACCAAACAGGACTATGTCATCTGCGTATTCTAAGTCGATAAGTGGACCTCCTGGAAGGAGATCAATACCCGAGAATTCAGTCGACGAGAGTGTTATTTCCATCAATAGGTCTATGATGAAGTTAAACAAAAATGGAGAAAGTGGGCAGCCTTGACGGACACCACTTGAGGTTGCAAAAGTAGATGACAGTTCGCCATAAGCCCTGACTCGACTAGTAGTGTTCGAGTAAAGAGCCTTCACAAGGTTTATGTACTTCTGAGGTACGCCTTTCAATGACAGACACTGCCACAGAGTCTCGCGGTCTACAGAGTCAAATGCTGCTTTTAAGTCAAGAAAGACCACCATCGTCGGACGCCGATAGGTATGCCTGTGTTCTAGAACCTGACGAATGGTGAATATGTGGTCGATGCAGCCACGACCAGGTCTAAAGCCAGCTTGGTTCTCTCGTGTTTGTAGTTCACGAGTCTTAGTTAGGCGTTTGATAATTATCGAGGCCAGTATTTTAGATACTATGTTTGTTAAACTAATCCCTCTGTGGTTGTCACAGGATGATTTTGACCCTTTCTTATATATTGGGACGATAAGTGATTGCGACCAGTCAGATGGGATAAAGTCTAATTCCCAGATCTTAGCTAAAATATTAGTCAACCTAATCGCTAAAATTGGACCACCATCCTTAAAGACCTCTGGAGCCAATCCATCTGGACCAGCTGCCCTTCCTCGTTTCAGATTAACTATAGCCTTTTCAACTTCAGCAAGAGTTGGGGGACCTACTTCAATGTTCCATTCACATTGTCTGGGAATGGAGGGTAGTTGTAGAGTAGCTGAAGGCCAGCTGAACTGTTCTCTAAAATGTTCCGCCCATCGTTCTAAACGTCTGGACTGGGAGCAGATGAGAGTATCATCTTTTTCCGAAATAATCTCACTTACACTTGACTTATTAATTCCAGTTTCTTTTATTAGTCTGTAAAGCTGTCTTGTGTTCCCTATAGTCGCCGCCTTTTCCATCTCTTTTGCTTTCGTTACCCACCACTGCTCACGGTCGTTCTTTAGACTTTTCTTTTCTTCAATATACTCATGATTTCAATGTGTGAAATTTCTAGAATCTCCACAAACCCCTTCTGATAATGGAATAATTATTCTACCTGAAAAATTATATAATGATGTTACCATTCAATTTTAATTTATACAGAAATATCTACAGTAACTGGGTAAATATTGAATAAAGGTGATAGATTGAAGTTTTTATATTGAAAATCATTGACTGAATTTTGTGAAATAATCACTAAGTGAACTAATCAAATCATTGTACTCTTCTACTTCCAAATGTTTCTTGATGCATTAAATATTGTCCTGTTTTACCATTCTTAAGTTATGAGTAATTAATTGTAAACCTATTACTTAATTTTCCTTTTGTTATTCCTATATCGTAACTTCTTATTTGAACTGAAGTGAGGAGAAGAAATTAACATTTATCACATACGTTTGAGTTGTAAACTGAACTGTACAGTAAAAATTATCTACTTGTTGTGTTTTAGCTATCGGGTAGGTAAGGGTGAGAGACTTCGCCTTGAACTAATGGGCGTTAAACAACGATGAACATAAGTACAAGTTCTACGCTGTGACTGACTGACAAGAGCCAGACCATCCCCCCCACTAACTACTCATCAAATATTCTTACGAGAATCACTGACACCTTCAATTATAGCATACAAATACACTACGTACTTGTATCAATATGAATCAAATAATGTGAAAGCTGTTTACGAAGAAGGGAGGTGAAAGTGAGAGTTTGCTCCCTCTTATTAATCTGTCATTTTATGTATATTAAGGCAGTTGTAATCAGTAAAATGAACAGAACATGATTTTCAAGAGAGTTAAAGAGTACGTAATCCAGTTTTGATAGATTTTCATAAATTCTGGTTTACTACTCTCATAAAGCTATTAGCATTAAGTAGTAAGACATCAAAGCTATTTTCTCTGGTTTCATTTAAATACATATTGATTGCATGTTTATTGAGTATTTTTGGTATTATTATTTTCTTAATACCCTAGTTCTAAGCTTTTATTTGAGTCATAATTTGTTGCTATATTATTTTCGACTCATAAACGACAACCGATTAATTGTATATCCAGTATTCCACTTTCCCATCATAAATGTTGTTATACCGTGTTAATACTGATACTGGGTGGTGATCTGGTCTTGTGTGTATATAAATGAATGTCTGATATATAATAGCGATCTTGGACAAATGAACATTACTATTGCGTTCAGGGCTAGTTAGTATTAGGGTTAAACTATAGGCATAAAGTATCAGTTTTCTTGGTCCTTGCAGATTATTGATTACTTAAGTTGGTCTACGTGTATTGGTTAGTTGTAGAACATAACGAGAACTATTTTCGTTTTGCTTTTTACATCCATTGAAAAGTATGGATTTCTGATAACAATGAGTATAAATGTACCAAATTGTTACACAGATAGAAGGCGATTGTACTGAAATATGTATTTATTTCCTAATACATTTATACATGAAACGTGTGTACAGTATCAGTTTAGTTAATCTAAAGTAAGACAAAAATGTAACAAAGCAGAAACCACATTAAATCTAAATTAGTATCAATTAGTATCTGATAATAACAACAAGTTACTACTGGAATCAACTTTCGTCTATTAGTTTTTTCGTGCACACACAAGATTATTACCTAATAATTTTGCAGGGGAAAATTCAAACAGCAAAACTACAGATTGATCAATGAATTACATATAATACATGCCAAATCCAAAAGCGAATCCAGGCTTTACTTGATCACCAGATTGATATGTCATTGGGAAACAATAATTTAATTCAATGCGTAAAATTCCAGCAAAACGAAATACTACACCCATACCAATCACAGTACGAGGTCGACCTTTTAATTCATTTAAAAAATACTGACTGAATTCATTAACAGTTCTACAAGTAGAAGGTGAATCCATCAATTTTGAATAGGTCTTTCCAATGTAGAGCCTATTTTATTCAATGAAACATTAAAAATAGAAAATAAAGCATATCGGAGAGAAGAGAAGGATTTGTACTAATTCATTCAGTTATATCTTACATGAATTAAAACTATCTCAAAACGAATATATATGGAAGTGTTGTGCCCCGATAAGCATAATGAATGGTAACTTTTGGGATCCATTTATGGACCAATACTATGAGTACATTTTTATCGTATAATTGTTAAATAACTAAACTATACATATTCATGTCCCTCTTATTATGAGCTTTATTTTCACCTATGAACTAGTATTATACAATTTA